TTAGAGAATGAGAGAGAGAGGGGGGGTAGAGAAATAGAGGGAAGGCGGGGGGATTTTTTTACTACTCTTTGAACAGATAAGTTTACTTAGATATTTGGCCAATTTCTTAATTAAGCAGCAGGATTAAAGAGGAATAAAACTGCTTCACAGCACAGCTGAGCTATGAAAGTCAATGAACGGATGCACTTCGTTAAACAACCCGATTTTAACGTGATTTTTTTTTTGGGACTGCTTTTCACTTTTCAAAAACACTTGGCTTTTAAAATTATTAATCAGTCTAAAGCGAATGGGTGCATAGAAAACGAAGCGCCAACAAACCAAACACTGAGGGAGCAAAAGGGAATTCGCAGGTACGTGTGGGCAGGGAGGTGCGCCTACTGAACTTGAGCGCATAAAAGTATTTCTTTAAACGATCATCTCAACGTCTACCAATAGCAAGTGAAAGGAAGCGAATGGAAGAAGTTACTTTGACACCCACAACCACCACCATCCCCCTTCCTTTCATATTGCAACTGCCCAAAGAGAAGAACGCACTGTGCATGTATGCAGCTGTATTTCGAAAACTTTCGTTTCTAAAGCAACCTTTCTGAAGGGCATAATCAAAATCTGTAATAACTTAGAAATATGCATTGTGAAAAGTTGAAAGCGCATAAATCGAAAACTGTAATCACATAGCTCGGAAAAGGAACAATTCGTCCTCGAGCACCAGTTTGGCCATCAAACTAGAAGAACATTGCAGAATTGCGACTGATGGCTTGCAAAGTGGACGCAAAACCCGATTGGTTAGCCGAAAATGGAAAACGGAAACGCATTGAATTTCACGAATTTGGTTAGGGTGAAAGAGAGAGAGAGAGCGAGAGAGAGAGAGAGAGAGAGAGAGAGAAGGGAGGGGAGAGAGGAGGAGAGGGAGGGGGAAGAGAAGAACGGTTGGGAGGGGGTAGGGAGAAGTGAAGAGAGGGAAGGGGAGAGTGGTGAGAGAAGGGTGGGGGAGTGGGGAGTGAGAAGCGTGAGGACGAGAAGGTGGGTGTTAGAAGGGTGGGGAAAGGGGTGGAGAGAGGGA